TTAGTTACTGGAGTTGTAAATTATCCTTAGAATAACTCCTGTTCCTGTTGCATGGGTTTATTTAGAAGTCGAATAAGGGAATGCTGGACAAAATGGTATCTGCGGAAACAGCAGATGGTAGTAAACTGAAAGAAACTGCAACAAAAAGCTGGTGAAAGTATTTTTATTTAAATTGCTGATAAGAACCTAGTGGCTTGTAGCATTGGAAGTGAAATATCATAAACATTGTTATGAAAGGTTTTCACAACTTCTCTTCCATGGACCAAAGGTACGAAACAAGAGTTAAATTATTTATGCAGATTTGCTCAGTCAAGCAAGTGTAGCAGAAAGTGTTATGCATGATGACATAGAAACGTCTCAGAATTCACAAGAGTCTGAATCTGATGATGACACTGGAACGAAGGCATCCATGTGCAGTACACAAGTGCAACACTGAAAGAAATGTATACAGTTGACCTAAGATTGAGAAACAACTTCCTTTATTGTACATCAAATTATTTCAAGAACTGGCCACCACATGCATCTGATATTACTGGTGAAAACATCAGAAAGTTCGTATCACCTCTCTTGTTTAATTTTATGGCATGGATTCTTGGGTTTTCAGATGACCCAAAAGAGGCTGACTACATTGAATTAGATGAGCAAACTACATCAAAGATTTTTTCTCTGTGTCATGATTTGGACCACATTTCTAATAGGAGGAAAGTACAGACACATAAGCCCCTAGCAATGACCAATCGACAGATTTCTGGTTCTTCTGGACTGATAAGATTTTGAGTGGTTTTGGACATTGTGTCTCACTATCTTTGACAATGGCATATGATTCAGCTATTGCACAGGCAACTATCAACACATCAACACTATTCCAGTAATATCTGATGCATGTGGTGGCCAGTTCTTGTACCAAGCTGCTGCACAATCATGCGAGTTGTTTCTCAATGTTAGGCCAACTGCACACATTTCTTTCAATGTTACACTGGTGTATGTGGATGCTTTCGTTCCAATGTCAACATCAGATTCAGACTCTTGCATGTGAACTCTGAGACGTTTCTATGTCATCATCCATAAAACCTGCTACACTTGCTTGACTAAGGTACTCTGTATAAACAATTTCACTCTTGTTTCATACCTTTGGTCTATGGAAAAAAAGTTGTGGAAACCTTTTACATGGCTGTGTACTTTTCATAACAATGTTTATGGTATTTCACTTCCAAAGCTGCTAGGTCCTTATCAGCAATTTGAATCAAAATCACTAGCTTTCTTGTTGCTGCTTCTTTCAGTTTAACAGCTTTTGCTTTTTCGACTTCGAAATAATAAAAGAACCCATGATGCATGAAAATCACACAACCGTTATAAAGGGAACGGCTGCGGCCAGTGTAATAAACTTATCAACTAAGTGACATACGCATGGCAACACGTGGGAATTCTGCGATTTAGTTGCCACACTCGTACACACACAAGTCTCCCATCTTGTAGCAAGTCTGCCAACAGCCGTCAACAAGTTGTCTTCGCACTGCTTGTCCGAAGTTGTCAACAAGTTTGGAACAAGCTGTTAACAACTTGTAACAACCTTATTAATATTATTAGGCTTGTTGCAATGTTGTTCCAACAAGTCCGATACAGCCATGATACAACAATATTGTTACAACCTGGTGTCGTCAACCTTGTAACATTCTTGTTATATCATGACTGCATCAGACTTGTTAGAACAACCTGGTAACAAGACTGGTAATGTCACTAAGCTTCTTACAAGTTGTCAACAGCTTGTTCCAAACTTGTTACAACAACTGGGAGCAAGCGGTGTGAACACAACTTGTCGACAGCTTGTGAAGAGATTCGTAACAACTTGTTTGCAGACTTGTAACAACTTGTGCGTTTTTACGTGTTTAGGCGATCTCAGCATTTTCTTTACGGGTGGAGTTTCATCTGATTCCGTTTCTTCATAATTATTAATATCGATACCAGAGGATGAAGGTGCACCTTAGAAGGTTAGCGTGGTGAAATAAAGTTTTACCTACCTACCATTTGTGAATGCTGAGTAACAACCTCGATAATAGAAATTTGCATATTTGATACTTTCAACTGTGCATGCTACTTTCCATGCTGTCGCTAACAAATTGCAAACTTCTTTGAGCAACATTGCGTTCTTCCCTGTTTAGGTTAGCCAAATTCTACGACAATCTAAAAACGTTTGATACGAAACCGCACTAAAACTTTTAAGTGGGCCTTTTTCCGCATCAAAACGAATTAAACATGAGTCAGAAGACGCCATGTTTACAAATGCTAAGCTGGAAACTTTATGTAAGAACGAGTGTGAGCCCGCGAAAATTGCCATTTATAGTGTTTTTTTACACCAAGTATCCTGAACAAAAATGGCGGCGATTGATTGCGAAAGATGTTGATTTCTTGAGTTTTCGAAGAAGAAATACTCGAAAACTGCAGGTTTTGAGAAGTGCCAACAAGCGGATTTGGACTTTGTATGATTTATCCTAATTATTTATCTTGTTTCAAAGTAGTGCCCAAACCATGGCAACGGAATTCATTTTCTAAGCGACTTTTCGTGCCACAGAATACGGCCTAGATTACGTATACGGACTTTACGAAGCCAGTAAAAAAGTACCAAATTGTTCGGCACCAACCGACTAACAACAAGATTGTGAATTACTGAATTGGGCATTGAACAAATACCATTACGAAATACGTCTTCGGCTTCGCTTTGTTGCGCGGCGCAGGCTTCTGCTTGACGTTGTTTTCGGCCACTTCCTCGTGTACCTAGATCGAAGACTGGATTTCCAACTTGATCATTCTGGATCATCTTTAGACTTGAGCTTCACCATAGAGCTATGACTGACCTTACTGCATGGGCAGAGCGTTTAACAAACTGACCCTAAACTATTGAGATCCCCTTGTTTTATAGCCAATGTTACGCATGATTGTACTTCTAATAGGATAAATAATTATGGTATTTTAAATAATACTCAGTATACTCTTCAACATCCCCTTTTGCGAATACCTATTACTGTATCAGCGCTATATTTTTTATACATTTTGTTCCAAGAATGTGCATGTCTCTGGGGAGTTGCATGCATGCATGCATGCATGTTATGTTATGTTGTTATGTTATGGTTTAATTTTGAGTATGCCAAGATTAACTAAGGATTAAAGAGTTTGCATTTGCTTAGAGCAAGATTCCAAAACGCAACATAAGTTAGAAAACTATGGCCGGTTCGCTGGGGTGACACTCCTGCCCCGCAAAATGAACAATTAGCGCAACGGCAAGAAGTTTTTGCATGAAGTTACATGCCACGACGCTATGGTCTCCGACAAGCTTGCATTCGTGTTAGAAATTTTTTTGCATTCGTGTTTTTTTTTGCATTCGTGTTTTGTTTTTTTTCTCATTCGCGATTCCGAACGAATAAATCTTGTTTGTATTTTGTAAATAATAATACTTCGTTTCACAATAAACGTTTTATCAAGTTTCATCATTTTACTGATAATATATTATAATAAGTTGAGCAACACTTGGTTCATATTTGAGAGACCTTTTTGTCGCAATTTTTGATACATCTAGAAATGTGCTACCAAATTTGAACATAAATATCTCGGTCAGTTTTTTATGAATATACAACTGTAATATATCAAAGTCTAAATTAGCCTTTCCTCTATCTAATAAAATATATTTGAGTGTAATAGTTTCACCCAATTTAGATGTATCAAGAATCAAACCGGAGTACTTTTTTTTGGGACACCATGAGGTATATATATATATAGATAGATATATATATATATATATATAGATATAGATATAGATATATACCTCATGGTGTCCCAAAAAAAAGTACTCCGGTTTGATTCTTAATAACTCTAAATCGGGTGAAACTATTACACTCAAATATATTTTATTAGATAGAGGAAAGGCTAATTTAGACATTGATATATTACAGTTGTATATTCATAAAAAACTGACCGAGATATTTATGTTCAAATTTGGTAGCACATTTCTAGATGTGTCAAAATTGAATATATATATATATATATATATATATATATATATATATATATATATATATATATATATATATATATATATATATATATATATATATATATTTAACACT